GGGCTGGGTTTAAAATTTTTATTTTATTTTTTAATCATTTTAATTTAGTTTTGAGGATGGAACAGCCGAGATAGACCAATAGGTCCTACATTGTCCCAAAATATTATGTTATGAATATCCTACATAAAACTGACCATGTAAAAAGCAAGGCTGCTTTAGGAACAATCCAGCAACCTTTAAAGTTTGACCTTGTGCCTTATTAATTGACACTGCAAAACAAATTGTAACTGGGAATTGGAGGCTTCTAAATTCAAAGGGGTAATCACTTGCTAGTAAAGGAATGTTTGGAATAAAGACACCTTCACTTTTGGCATGATGAACTGTAATTGTTGCTTCAATAACATGTGGCAGTAAAGTCTTAACAACTAAACTTGTGCCATTACATAGTTTTTAGGGATCAAGATTTCTCAGCTTTATTGATGAACCAACATTTAATTTAAGAATGTGACCTGGCATCCCTGGTGTTTCAAGAGAATTTAAAAATTCAATTGGGTAATTTAAAGCATCAACTGTAACTGTAACACTGAAAATTGAGCTGTTAGTGAATTCCTGTCTGGAAACCTTGTGCAATAATTGATCATTTATGTCATGAACAGTATCATTTTGGGGTGCAAGAATTGCTCTTTTACACAACCATAAATAATTTTGACAAATATTAGGGAAAATATTTTCCATTAGCTCTTCTGCATCCTTAAATAAGTTACCATATTTGTCTGAAATAGTAATACAGTTGTCTGACAACTAAATTAAGAAGAGGTTTCTGAATTAAACCATTTGCTTCTATGTTGTTGAAGTTATTAAAAACAGAGAAGATAAACTACAAATTAACATGTACATTATATGTTCAACATAAACAACACTGTTGGCCTAACAACAACATGGTGATAGTTTTGTTGTTAAGCAACAATGTATAGTGTTGAGTATTACCAAAAGGAGCATGACATGATGACAGGAACTGAATTAAAAGCCAAAAAATTAGCTTTTGTGGGAAACCTGGTGGGAATTTTGCCCCTTCATGTTACTTTTGGGGACCATTGGAGTCACCATGCTAAGTTTGGCAGTGATTTGTCAAATAGTATGTGAGGAGTTAGCAGACAGACATAAAATTTTGCTTTTATATATATATACGTAAACAAAGTTGAAAGGACATACCAATCCTGACAGAAATAATCAATCCTCACAGTAAAAGGGTTAAACATGAAGAAGCAGAAAATTGAAAGCTTATGCTACTGTAAACAATATTTATCAATGGACAACCCAAGAAGATGCAGAAGAGTATTATCTTTGACAAGACTGGCAACATCCTAGGTTGTGTATAATCATGACAGCTAGTGCCTGACCAGAGTTATGATTAGATCTAGGCACTTAATTAATTGATATAATGAATTACCCATGAGCATTGATTACACTGATTAGTGTCGTGTAATATAATCAATTACTTGAAATTACAATTAAATCAATTAATGCCACAAAAATAATTATCTGATCAAAATTTGTGTTTCTTACTTACTGTTTTAGGTGACTCAAACTGTCTAACTTGCACATGAGAGTAATCAATTAGTTGAATTTCAATGATTAATAAGCCCGACAATCAATCAACTAGCAAATTTTTTAAGCCCAGAGAACATGAGAAGCCTGAAAGGTAACTGAATGCTTTTGGACCTAATGAGAATATTTAAAAAACTTAAAACAGATTTCTAAACCTAATTCCATCATTGCACAATTGCCAGGAAATCATAGTGGTCTAAGAAACCAAATGGTAAACAAATAGCTAAAATGTTAACATTTTCCTTAGCTCTCTGTACAAAAAACAATTATTACCTCAAACCACTATCATGAAGAGTTATGCAAGTGCCACAAGCCTTGAATGTTTCTCCCACATTTACACATATAAATGTGTCTTGTGCCAGCCTACAACAATCATCATTAGACTATAACTCTTTATTGAATGGAAGGTGACACATCCTCTATGTGCAGAAATCCCCATGAGCACTAGGTTTTGAACAAAGGCTAATTCTTGATGAGGCAAAATAAATATATTAGATGTGGATAGGAGAGATGGTTCAGTAAATTTAGAATGATCTTGCAACCACCATAAAAAAAATTAGTAAATAAATATAAATTATGCCTCTTTCATTCTAGAATGAACATAAATTATAACACAAAAACATAAATGTTCAGAATAAATAGCTTAAATCTCATAACATTATACATTTATATATATTTATTATTTTTATTGTATTGACCTTTCACTCGTGCCTGGCTAAAAATACAGAAGTTACAAGGATGCGGCTCATGTG